GGGCACGGCTCCCGCGGAGGGGTCGGAGCCCACATACAGGCCGGTTCCCGCTCTCTGGCTGAGCGAGGCGCGGGAGCAATGCCGAGTGTTGCGATCCCGTTGCCGGTCCCCGGTCCGGTACGAGGGCAACACTGAGGGTTGTGATCCGTTGCCGGACAAGGAAAAAGACAAAAGACAAAAAAAAAACAAACAAACAAAAAAAAACCTACAAGCATACAGCACATATTGTTTTCGAACATACATGCTGCATTCACAGAAAACAACTATGCACCAGGCCAGAAAAGAAACCACAGTATCCCCTCTTCCCTAAATCATTAGAGACTAAATTTTCTAACCATAATACGATAAAATTAGAAATCTATTACAGAACAGCTTTTTAAAAAGTGGTTGTGTATTAGTCCTTCTGTTGCTTATAACAAAATAGCTGAAACTGGGTAATTATAAAGAAACAATATTCATTGCTTACATGTTTTGGATGCTGGGAAGTCCACAGTCCAGGGAACATATCTGGTGAGGTGACTCTACATCAATGCAGGGTGCTGTAGACTGGATGCCCCCAACTCCAACCTCATTGGAGTTTAAATCCCTGTTGTAACTGTTGAAGGTGGGAAATCTTATTATGGTAATTGAAAGGTGGGGCCTTGAAAAGATGAGTAGATTGCAGGAACATGCCTAGTGAATGGATTAAAAATGGTGGTCATGGGCATGGTTTGGAAGCCTTTACAAGGAGAACGAATGAGGAGATTAGTTTCCTTGCTCCACCATTTTTGCAATGTGATACCTGCTGTCACTATCGCCACCACCAAGGCCTTCACCAGCTGTGTTCCCTGGACTTTGGACTTCCCAGGCTCAGGAACTACAAGCAATAAATTTTGTTTTCTTTATAAATCACCCAGTTCTGTAGTATTTTATTATAAGCAACAGAAACGCAATAATACACAGTATGTTATATGGTAAGAATGGCAGAAGACAGAGAAATATATTCTTATGCATTCTCCTTTTAAAGCCACCAGAACCATTCCTATTCCAAGAATAGGTCAATTCTTTCGCAAGGGTACAGTCCTCACAATCCAATCACCTCTCCAAGGCCCTGCCTTTCAACAACTACAATAGGGTTTCTTACCCTCTTAACACTATCACAGTGGGGACCAAGACTCCAACACATTAAACTTTGGGGGGACACAATTCAATCCATAATAGGTTATAAACTGAAAAAATATATGTATTAATTAAGCTTTGAGTTTAAAAGAAAATCATATCAAAAGCTGAAACATTCTTAATTTAAAATTTATGGCACATCCCCTAACTAATGCTAATGGTATAGAAATAGGTTGAAGGAAACATACTTTAAATACATTTATCAAAAAACAATCAAGATTGATGGTGGACTAATGGGTACAAAACTATGCCATCTACCCTAAGTGAATCATTGTGCAGTATATGCATATATTAAAACAACACACTGTATTCCATAAAATGTATAAATAAATGTTAAAATAAAACAAACAAACAATCAATCAAGACTGAAAACAAAAAAGTTAAACATTGACATCGATAAAGTTGGGAAAAAGAATACTGGTGTCCAAAAAAATGTGGAAAAAGTAAATTCAAGTAAGAAACAAATAAGGAAATTACAAAGATAAGGGCAGAAATAAGCAAAACAAAAAAAAAGATAGAAATGAGGAATAAAACAAAAGCTGTTAATTGGAAATGACAAAAAGATCAATCTTTTGTAAGACTGATCAAGGACAAAAAAGAAAACACAAAGAAATATAGAATAAAAAGTAGGAAACCAGACGTGACATTAAAAAAATAATGAAATTTTATAAATATGTGCCAATTAACTTGTAAACAAAATGGATACACACATAGAATATAATCAAATGTCTAATATGGCACAGAAAAAAAAAATAAAACTAAAGTATCTAAATATCCATAGAAGAAACCTACGTGGTAATCAGTAATTTCCCTCTGGAAGAGGCACAAGGACTAGGTCCAAATAGTTTTATAGATGAGACCTCTTAAACTTTCAAAGAACAAATAACCCCTACTTTATACAAACTGATCCATGACATAGGGTTTACAACACAAGCGTAGTTTAACATTAGAAAATCAATCAATCAATATGATTCATCATATGCTATGGTTTAGATGTGGTTTGTTCCAACCAAAGCTCAGGTTGAAATTTGATCCCCAATATGGCGCTTTTGGGAGACAGCGCCTAGAGGGAGGTGTCTGGGTCATGGGGGCAGATTCTTCATGAACACATTAATCCCCTCCCTCAGGGGTGAGTTCATTCTCTCTAGCAGGAATGGATTAGTTCCCATGAGAGTGGGCTGTTGAAGAGTCTGTTTTCCTCAGTTTCTCTCTTGCTTCCTCTCTTGCCATGTGATCTCTTTGCACACACTGGCTATCCTTCCACTTTCCACCATGAATGGAAGTAGTAGCCTGAGGTCCTTGCCAGATGCAGCTGCCCAATCTTGGAACTTCCAGCCACCACAATCATAAGCCAAATAAAGCTCTTTTCTATATAAATTACCTAGTCTCAGGTATTCTGTTACAGTATCATAAAACCAACTAAGACACCACTTTAATAAACTTGGGGAGAAATCACATTATTATCTCAGTAGGTGTAGAAATACTCTAAGTTTAGTACCTATTTATGATTTATACTTAATAAAAGATATGTACCAAAAACATTACATATAACATTGGAGTGAGCAGGACTGAAGACATATAGGGACCTAAAACTGCATGAGCCCTAAAAGATTTTAAAAGGATACAGTTTATTAGCAGGCATTTCTCTGAGTGCCCTCTTTTCCCATGGTTATTTGATATTCTGAACCTTGGTTATGGCACAAGATGACATTATTTACATGAGTGTAAAGTTGTTTTCCAGACAGCCTGAAGCTGCACACTTGCATATACTATCTAAGGGATACCAGCGTTTAGGGGGGGAAAAAAAGTTAGGGAAAAAAGTGGCAGAATTCAGAGTACAGAGTTTTTCAGTGTTAGAAAGAGACCAAGCAATGGAAGATAGTAAAGTACCTGCTAGATCTGAATATAAGAAATCCCTGTTAATCTTTTTTTTTTTCTTTTTTCCTTTTTTTGGTGACTGGCCTGTACAGGGACCCGAACCCCTGACCTTGGTGACAGCACATTTGCTGGAGGAATATGAGAGAAACTGAATGAATGAATACTACACATGGCCTTTGTATTTCTGTAAAGTAGGAGCCAGGACCATCTGAGACGTAGAAGGACAAAAGCAGGAACAGAGTGAAGGTTTTAGATAGTAGCCATAGAAAATGAAAAAGCTGACAAGAGACAAGCTAAAGATTTGCTGAGGGGGCAGCTAAAAACATATGCCACTCATTTGTAGTGGCATCAAGCCACTCAGTTGTTTGTATTTCTCCAAGAGGCCACCATACCCTGAGTTCAGAAGTAGGTGACTGGATGGATTCAGAATTGTAAACCCGTCAAATCCAACCCAACTAAAAGATGGCTTAACCAGAGGAAATTATGTTAATAGTTAATGAATGGCCGAAGTAGTAAATTCTGCAAGCAAGGATATAAGAATGACAGAAGAACTATAGGGAACAGACAAACTAAGAAAAAAGGAAGAAGGGATCCAGGACCAGAGGTGAGATCAAGAGTAAGAGAATGGGGCTGGCCATTGCTCAGTTAGAGCACAGTATTGGTAACACCAAGGTCAAGGGTTTGGATCCCCCTATGGGCCCCCTGCCCAAAAAAAAAAAAAAAAAAAGTGAGATAAGACTAACCAGCAATCTATCTATTCCTCCCTCCTCTACTCTCCTCTATCTTGGTTCATCAACAAATAACTTTCAGACTCATCTCCCAACAGCTTAACTTCGATCTTGACACTATTTTGTTTAAATAAGTTCTCCACTGCTTATCAAATCCAATCTAAATTCTTTGTCTGAGTGCTCAACTGTCTTCCCTGTTTTGGCAGCAACCTACCACTTCACCATACATCCCCTTGTACACTGAGTCCAACTAGACCACCTAACGATCTTCAAGCACATAAATACAGCTCACACTGCCGTTGAGTGGTTTTGTTCCACCTAAAGTGACTACTCATTCTTCTTCCTTGGGGTTGCCAGATTTAGCAAGTAAAAATACAGAATGTTCAGTTAAATTTGGAGTTCAGATAAACAATGAATGATTTTTTTTTTTTGGTACAACTATGTCTCATGTAAAATCTGTATTATCTCATCCATCCTTTAATGTCACTCTAAAATATTATCTTCATCATGAAAGTCTTTCCCAACTCCTTCAAAACTGTATTCCTTCCTTCTTTCAACCAACAAATATTTAGTGTGCTAAGTGCCGAGAGTAAAAACTGCGAGGAAAGTACAGTCTTTTCCTCCAAGGAAATTCCAGGCTAGAAAAGTGGGGAGAGAACTAAGTAGACAGTTATGAAAAAGAAGTTAAGTGAAATGTGTCATGTGAGCCAAAAGCAGGCACCCGTCTCCCTCTACTTATACAATGGATACTTATGAAAACTTACCGAGAAAAGAGGCACATTACACTCAAAACATGAACTCAAATATTTGCTGAATAAATAAAACTCCTTCAAAAAATTTCTCAAGAAGAATATACTTTAGTAAACACAATTTCTTTTTTTGTAATGGTTTCCAGTTTGATTTAACAAAGTTACCATTTAGCCAATTTTTTAAAAAAGAAGAATGTCTTCAATGTAATGGAACTATAATGATGGTCCAATCAATGACCAATTACTTTGGATAGATTGGATAGATAAAAATATACTGAAATTTTCTATGTCCTAAAAAAGAGAGCAAAATAGAAAAAAGCTTACCACACGCTGAGCCGCTATCAATGCTGCTAATGTACTTCGCCCTGGCGCTCCTGGAGCACAGAAGGAAACCTGGACTTTGTTTCCCCTGATGGTCATACCATTTGTTGCTTGCTGAACCTCTTCAGCGAGCTCTGCAGTGGAATATTCAACCACTGCAAAGCCACCAATGTAACTACCTTCATCCTGTGCAAGCTGATGTAATACATTTTATTAAAAAGGAATTCTGATATTTACCTAGAAACATTTATTTACAATATATAATTATCAAATTCAAGAACAAGTATATCAGAGCATACTGGTGAAAATAATGTATTCTTTCTCCATGAAAATAAAAGTTTACTAGTTGCTTAGATACAGTCCTTCCTGAAGACAGGAAGATAAAAAAAGTCTGTCAAATTTCTTTTAAGTTCTTTGATTTTCTAATTTAACAGTCAAAGCTCAAATGATAATAGTCCCTACATATTAACAAATATATATAACTGGTAATTTATAGGAAGATATGGTGACACAATAATTAAAACTTTCTCTAAAACAAAATTCACTAGAATTTTTTTTGGTGGGGTGTGGCTGGCTGGTATGGGGATCCGAACCCTTGTCCTTGGTGTTATAACAATGCACTCTAACCAACTGAGAAACCAGCCAGCCTTGACCACATACATGGACAATAAAACGTAGTGAAAAAATATTTGACCACATATCAACGTAAAATAAAGTTAGTACGATCAACAGAAGAAAGGAAGAACCATTTTCAACTTTTATTTCAATATTTTAGGCAGATCCCAGATCTTTGGCCAAGTATACCAAAGCAAATCTTATTTAGGAAAATTGTGCCCAGGTTTGTTAAAATACCACATGTAACATAAAATCTTTACATGTGGGGCCGGCCCGGTGGCGCACTGGAGAGTGCGCTGCTTGGGAGCGTGGCGGCACTCCTGCCGAGGGTTCGGATCCCATGTGGAGACCGGTTCCTGCTCACTGGCTGAGCGCGGTGCAGGCGCAGCACCGAGGGTTGTGATCCCGTTGCCGGTCCCTGGTACGGGCACAACACCGAGGGTTGCGATCCCGTTACCAGTCAGTAAAAAAGACAAAAAGGAAAAAAAAAAAATCTTTACATGTGTCCTAAATAAACTCTTGCCACATAGAACTCATGTTATTTCCAGTCACCCATCGGCAAGAGTATACAGGAAGATACTAAAGTCCTGGATCTATAAAGACTGGTACAAAGAGCAAAAATAAGAACAAAATAAGACACTAAAACTTTTCTAAGTTTTGAACATGTCTGAATTATCTTAAACACACTCACACTATAAAGTGATAAATGTGACAAAATTAAGCTTGGTATGTCTTTGAGAACACATATTACAACACTTCTATTTCGATTTAATATCTCATAAGTTAATATTACAATTAAATCATTTATTAGTTTTTAGTGTCTTTCCTCTTATTTTTGAAGCTTAACTTTTTTCTACTTTCTTGTATATTTAGACCTAATTTCTATTTTTTCTTAACGTTCTTTCTTCCTTTTAAAACTACCCTCAAAAGTCTTTTCTCCATTAAACTTTTTCCAATCACAAAGAAAGGGAAAATATCCACCTCTTCCAAACATTTTTCTAACAATCCTATTCCTCTTATAGTTCAAACCAAATCTTAAAATCAGATTTGTAAAGCTCTTAGTCCCTTTGGTCTCTTCTCCACAAAGAGACTGTGTCTTTTACTACAATCTACACCAACCTGCTACAGAAAAGAGCCTGAACTTAACAGTCCACTGATGAAAGAGCCATCCTAAAGTTGTTTTATTATAAAAAATATTTTTTACTATTCCTGTTTCATTACAATAATCTATATAAATTACAACATCATTATAAGTCTTTCAAAAGATAAAATCATTTTAAGTCCACAGCATTACTAGTTTCAGAGAGAATATTCATTTTAGTTCAGTATGAGAGCCATTCAAAGGTGTAATGATTTGACTTGTGATTTAGTTAATTTTCCATTATTTTGATGTATTTTAGCAGAAGTTACATGGTCACTCAAAATATTGCAGCAAATGTTTTCTGTCCGGTGTAAAACTAGACTAGATAATCTCTAATGTCCTTTCCAACTCTGGGATTCATAATTCATATACGATTTATGATAATATCCCTTCTAATTTGGGAATCCATAATTCAAATACAATAAATGATAAATGATCTTTCCTTTCACATTTGCTTCAAAGGTCTCAACTAAAAAGCTACAAAGAATTATGTATGGCCACAGGATGATAACATTATATAATTCTTAGTATTCAAGAACAACATATAATGCCAGTGAACTTTCAATAATGGGGCAAAGATTTGATTAAAAATTTGAATATTTTGTAACAAAGAAATAAAACAGTTCTTGGATAGTTTCTTTGATGCTTATTGGGACTGGAGGGGTAGATATGTAAAAAAAAAAAGTAAGATGGTAGCATTAATCTTTTTTTTTTTTTGTCTTTTGTCTTTTTCCGTGTCCGGCAACGGATCGCAACCCTCAGTGTTGCCCCCGTACCGGACCGGGGACCGGCAACGGGATCGCAACCCTCGGTGTTGCTCCCGTGCCTCACTCAGCCAGTGAGCGGGAACCGGTCTGTATGTGGGATCCGAACCCTCGGGCGGGAGCGCCGCCGCGCTTCCCAAGCGGCACACTTATCCAGTGCGCCACCGGGCCGGCCCCCATAGCATTAATCTTAAAAATGTAGTTTACCACATGACCTCACTTGTAAGTGGAATCTAAAAAAGTTGCTCTCATAGAAGTAGAGAATAGAATGGTGGCTACCAGGAGCTGCGGTGGTTGCGGGTGGGGGGGGGGGAATGTTGGTCAAAGGACACAAAATTTCAATTAGCTAAAGGGAATAAATTCAAGAGATCTATTGTATGTGTTTATCTTGTACAACATGGTGACTATAGTTAATAGCGATATATTCTTGAAAAATGCTAAATGGATGTTAAGTGTTCTCACCACAAAAATGATAAAGATGTGAGGTAATACACATGTTAATTAGCTAGCTTTCATCATTCCACAATATAAATGTACTTAAAAACACCATGTTGTACAAGATAAACACATACAATTTTATGTCAAAAAATAAACAAATATATATGCATATATGCGTGTGTGTATGCGTGTGTGTGTGTGTGTGTGTGTGTGTGTGTGTATGTGTATATATAAACACACACCCCAACTCCAAAATTTCTACTGCAATAGTAGGAACTCAACAAATGTATGATGAAATAAAAAAAGGGAAGAAGGAGGAAAGAAGGGAGGTAAGAAGAGGAGGAGCATGGAAGGGAAGAGAGGATGGTAAAAGGGAAGAGAGGAAAGGAAGAAATGAAGAGAAGCAAGAGAGAAAGAACTGATCAGTTGCTATGAAAAATCTGTAAGGGAAGGAGTTATATACAGTATATATTTCTATTTTTTAGAATATATTTAATCTCACTATGATAAAGTGCTTGAAAATTCTCACCAGTGTTGTCAGTTTTCAGGACCTTCTTCAAATGTCTCAGGTACCATTGACCCCATTAAGATAGAAATATACATTCTTTATTAAACCTCATAATACTTTTCTATTCCCTATTACATTTATTCTTCATATAGGATTTGCAATCATTTGCTCACTTGTCAGTCTCTTCCATAAAATGGTGAGGTATTAAGACAGAGTATCTTTCTATTCTCTGCATTTCTGACACTTGGCATAGTGTCTATAATGTCTGGCACAGAGAAGGTGGTAAATAAGAGTTAGATAGACAAACCGATCAATGGATGAATGGCTGGACAAATGGATGGAATGAAAAGGTAAGCAATGGATTTGCTGAGGCATACTTAACTACATAACAATATTGTTTGGCCCACCAACAGAAGGAATTGACTTAAAATTTTCCATGAGATTAAAGTCCTCATTATAGACTAAAGGAGAACTAAATTATCTATTGTGATATTCACACAGGTATGATAAATAAATCTGTGAGTGCATGTAGAACAAATATATATGCATATATATTTAAATATTTCTAATGATCTCTTAAAAATACATACCTGGCAAAACACGGGTCTATGTACACTGGAAAAAAATTGCAACAGTTCTTCTGAATCCCTGTAGTCACTAGGGAGTTTATCTATACAAAGGCACTTAGAATGAATGAGTTCTGAGGCCAATAGATTAACATCCATCCATTGTGCAAAGAGTGCTGATGCTCCCAACTGTTTACCCAATAGCTCCAATCTAGCCTTTGCAGCAAAGTCCTTTTTCATGTATTCCACAAATCCATAACCTTTGGAATGGCCAGTAACTTCACTGTAGACCAAAAAACATCTCTCAATATTTCCATAAGCACGAACAAGTTCTTCAAACTCTTCTAATGTAAAAGAAATGGGCAGGTTGGTAATACACAGCAAAGCATCTGTTGGCTGGAGCTGAACTATTAAGTCTTTTCCTCGAAAAGAATATTGATGAAACATCTGAATTGCATTCTGGGCTTGTTCACCATTCAATAAGGTAACAAAAGCTGGAAAATAACAAAATGAATTAAAGAGCTTTTCTAGGCCAGTGTTTTCAAATTTTTTTGCCCATGACCCACAGTAAGAAAAACATTTTATGTCTGTGACTCAGTACACACTTACATGCACATGTTTCTAAAACAAAATTATCATGAAGTAATACCCCTATTATATACAATGCACTCTGGTATTTTTTATTCTATTTAACTGTGTTTTTAAGGCTGACACCTCCACTAAACTCATGTTATGACCAGTAACTCAAACAGAAAGTACAGGAATTATATTACGAGCTCCACTGTAAGATCCTACAACATTCTGAGGTTCTTCTGTTGTTATTGTTTGTAATCTTTTCCAACCACATGCATATTCAATCTTCCCCTAAAAAACTTATATAAAATATTATAAAGCTTTTATAAAGAATAAGATTACAAAACCTTTCTTCTGAGAGAGTTCTAAAAGATCCTATTTGATAGAAAGGACCTGAAAAAATGAAAGTACAGCAAAAAGACAACAAAATGCCCAAGGGAGGCCAGTTTTTTCTCTAATTCATATATTTATTTTCTTAAAATCAGATCAATTATATCGAAACAGGACACAAACACAATTTGGTATACTTTTTTGATGAACAATATCAAATGAAAAGATCACAGGATTCTGACCTTGGACAAGTAGCTTAACTTCAAATCTTTGTAAAACAATAGAAAACATTTGTCCTGTCTACCTGATGAAGCTGTCCCAGTATCAAGCAATAAACGCATATAATAATTTATATAATTGAAAACATGATACAAATAAGATCCTAAATCAATGAAATATGTACATTTTTTTCTGTTAAAATTAAATTTTAGCCATATCAATTTGTTTACCTGTTGTCATAAAAGAATATAAAAATTTTGAGCAATTTTATAAGAGAAGTTTAAAGCCCCATAAAAGAAATAACACAGAACAACCCACAAGTTACAAATATATATTACTCTCTAAAATTCTCTCCCTCTACCTCTCCTTTTGGAACATATGGTGAAGTTGCTCCATATGAGCATTTAATTTACCCAAATTCAATTACAACATGGTAATATGCTGTGTACAGCAAATATGCATACAGTAAAAAAGAAAGACTTTAAATAGCCTGGGTAATTCTGCTTATCATTTCACTCAATCTGCTCTACCTCAGTTGGTCTTAGTGCCCATGCATCTCAGCACACTGAGTGTGATGCTAACATTTTAAGAAACATGTTTTTTCATTTAACATGGTCTACACATGCAAGGAAACTATTGCCAAAGGAACAGCTAACTCTTCCAACACTAGAGGAAAAAATGGCTTTGCCACCCTTACTGAGAGAATCTCTCTTGGTTTCTAACACCCTTTTTAAATGGCTTGAGTTATTCTGATTCCATACTTTTTCCCTCATGCTAACATAAAATACCATGTAATTCTATTTCCCTAAAACAAGCCCACAAGACAACAACAGTTTGTAAATACTGGCTATATTCCTATATTAGCCCAAAAAATCATCAGTTCATATTTGACTTGAATTCTCAGGGCATTTGAAACTGTTAATCATTCCTTTCCTAACTTCCTTGATACACTCTTTCCTGGTTGTCCAAGAACTCCTTCCTCCATTTCATTTGCTACATCTTTCTCCTCCATTCACATCTCTAAGGTGGTACTCCTTAGGGTGCCTGCCTGGCACATTCACACAGTAATTATCTGTGTGGTTATACCTGGCAGCCCAAGCTATGAATCTCTCCTCTCTCACTCTACCCCTCTTCGCCTGGGCCAATTATGTCCATTCCCATTTATTCAGTATCATGTGCCAGGTACCATGTTAGGGACTACAAATACACTGGCGAACAAAACAGGTAAGATCCCTTTCAACATAGAGCTCACAATCCAATAGGGGACACTAATAAAGATTTTGCATTTAATAAAGACTTACAAATGTGGTGTCATCAAAAAGAAAGTATGAGGGGCTATGAAAGCAATTAAATAGAGCAAAATAACCTCATCTGAGAGCTCACAGAGGCCTCCTATACTTTTATGTCTCCCAAATCTGTTTCTGACCTCCAGTTCCATATCTATCTACATACCGATTCCCACTGACTGTCCAAACATAACTAATGATCTTCATCCTATCTCTGCCAAAAAGAAAAAAAAGAAAAAAAAAATCCCATTACTGTTCTTCTTCCTTTATTCTCTATTTTAGCTGGTAGCAACAATACTCACACATCAGAAACCTGGGAGTTAACTGAGATCCTGTCTCCATCTGTCTCCCTCATAAAAAGAATTCTCAAATTCCCCCCTTTAAACAGGTCTTGAATTCATCCTCAATCCTCTAGGTTTTCCTCTTTTTAATCATTTTTCCATAATCACAATAAAGTGATCTCTCAAAAACAGAAGTTTAAGTGTTTTTATTTACTGCCTAATATGCAATGGTTTGGTATTACCAACAAAGCCAAGTCCCAGCTCAGTCATGCTCTACAAAGTCCTTTATGATCTGACTCCAGCCTCATTAACTGCCATATTTCCTCCCGTCCCACCATAGTTCTTTATTCTCCAACCATACTAAATTATGTATAGCTCCCTGTAGATATCAAGTTGTTTCAGGCATCTATACATTATACATGCAATTCCCTTTCCTACAGAATCCCTCCCCATATTTTCAGCTATGCCAAACGTTTTGTTGACTTCCAAATCCAGTCCACGAATTATTGCATCATGATCTCCAGGAAGCCTTCCCTGGTCCTCTCTTCCAGTTAGAGTTAACCATTCCTTGTTTTATAATACCTATGTATTTTGAACATTGCTTTGATTGTCATATGTATCACACTACGAGTTCACTGTAATATATTTGTTTAGATGCCTGCTCCCCTACTAAACTGTGAGCTCCCTAAATTACTAATGAATGTATTCTCATCAACTACCACAGTGCATGGCACATAGTAGATGTTTTGTAAATGTTAGATGAATGAATAAATAAATGTATGCATACACAGATTAACTGATAAATTTAAAAACTGACAATCTCTTATTTTTTATCTCCATTTATTCAACTTAAATAAGATTTTATGGTAGAATTTCAATAATATAATGAAGCAGATGTGAAAGTTCAGGCAGTAGGAAAAAGAGGTCACTTTTTCCCTTCTATATCTTCTTCCATTTTTTTCCAAGACTACAAATTCTCTAAAATAATATAATTTTTCTCACACTGGCTCTCGAAGTGGCTGATGTCACTCTACAGAGGAAAGGCTATAAGAGAATTTGAGATTAATTTTATAACTATTTTACTAGTTTAATTTAAATATTACACAACTGATCCCAATCCTTTTACAAGTCATTGCTTGGTCTCCTGTCAAGTGATATTGCACAGCTTCGTGTACAGTATAAGAAATTTATAAGTGTACTTCTATTTCTCTCCTCCCAGCCTTTGTATTATTAGTTATACATTTCATTTCTAAGTGTGTTATAAATCTCACAATATAGTGTTATTATTTTTGCTTTTAACATCAATTATCTTTTTAAAAAGATTTAAATATTAAGAAAAAGTCTTGACCTACATAATGACCATATTTGGTATTCTTCATTTTTTTGTGTAGGTACAAATTTCCAACTATCATTTTCTTCTTGTTTGAAGGACATCTTTAAGTATTTCTTATAACACAAGTTTGGTGTTGATGAATTCTTTCAACTTTTGTGTAACTTAAAAACATATTTATTGCACCCTCATTTTCTTTAAAGTTTTATTTTATTTTTAATTCACACAATAATAATTGTACATATTTATGGAATACAGTGTGATGCATCAATACATGTATACATTGTCTAATAATCAAATCAAGGTAATCAGCTAATCTATCATCATCCTCATTTTTCAAAGATATTTTTCATGGGTAAATAATTTTAGGCTGACCTTTTCTTTTTCATTCATTAAAGAAAGAAAGATGCTGCCTGTAGTCTTCTCACTGTGTTGTTTCCAAGAAACCTGTGGTCATTTTAATCTTTGTCCCTGTACATACGATGTGTCCTTTTGGGGTGGGGGGATGCTTTTAAGATTTTCTATCACTAATCGTAAGCAATTGATTATAATGTGCCTTGTAGTTTTCTTTATCTTTCCTGTGCTTGGAGTTGGTTGAACTTTGTGGATATCTGAGATTAGAGTTTTCATCAAATTTGGAAATTTTTCAGCCATTAATTATTAAATTTTTTCTCTACTACCCTCCCCGCCAACTTTCAGGGACTATAATTGCTCCAACATTTGGACTCTTGAACTTGCCCCACAGTTCACTGATACTCTGTTCATGTTTTATAGTTTTTTTCTCTGTTTCATTCTGAATAGTGTTTATCACTGATTTCAAGTTCATTAATCTTTTCTTCTATAATGTTTACCCTGCCATTAATTCTATCCAGTGTATTTTTCATTTCAGACATTCCAATTTTCATCTCTAAAAATTTCATTTGGATAATTTTTTGTATCTTCCATATCTCTACTTGACATGTTCAGTTTTTACCATAACTTCTTGTACATACGCAACACAGTTATAAAAACTAGTTTAATGTCCATTTTTTTTGTTTGTTTGGTTTTTTTGTCCTTTTTGAGACCGGCCGCACTGCGCTCAGCCAGTGAGCACTGTGAGCGCACCGGTCATCCCTATATAGGATCCGAACCTGCGGCAGGAGCACCGCTGCACTCCCAGCGCCGCACTCTCCCGAGTGCGCCACGGGCTCGGCCCTTAATGTCCATTTTCATTAATTCATTTCTGTCAATTCTAGATCAACTGATGGATTTTTCTCCTCAATACAGGTTATATTTTCCTGCCTCTTCGCCATGTCTGGGAAATTTTTACTGGATGCCAGACATCACAAATTTTACCTTGTTGGGTGCTAGATGTTTTTGTATTTATAAAAATATTCTTGAGTTTTGTTCTAGGATGTGGTTAAGCTACCAGGAAACAGTTTGATCCTTTCTGGTCTTGTTTTTAAGTTTTGTTAGGTAAGATAAAATCATCATTACTCTAGAGTAAATTTTCCCCATGATTAAGAAAAAACCCTCCTGTATATTGCTCCTGATGCTCCATGAATTATGAGGCTATCATCCTGGCTAGTGGGAACAGCACACTGGCTCTACGTGAGTTGTGAAAACTGTTACCACTAATCTCTTTGTTAATATTTAGTAACACTGAAATTGTGCATAACCTATGACCCAGCACTTCAATTGTGGAGAAACAGTTGCAATGCACATTAGAAGACAATTAAAGGGCCATCCCAAGGCTCACTTGGGAGAGTGTGGTGCTGATGACACCAAGGCCACAGGTTTGGATCCCTATATAGGGATGGCTGGTTAGCTCACTTGGGAGAGTGTGGTGCTGATGACACCAAGGCCACAGGTTTGGATCCCTATATAGGGATGGCTGGTTAGCTCACTTGGGAGAGCATGGTGCTGACAACACCAAGTCAAGGGTTAAGATCTCCTTACCGGTCATCTTAAAAAAAAAAAAAAAGAAGAAGAAGAAGATGACAATTAAAAGGATATTCACTGCAGTATTATTTGGAATACTGGGAAAGTTAAAGTTTCCTGAATATCTATCAGTAACGGATACATCAATTGTAATAAATTCACATGACAGAATAATATGTGGTAGTTTAAATCAATGAGCTAGAGTTATATGTATTAATGTGGAAAGATCTAAAAAACAATGTTGAGTTAAAAAAAAAAGCAAGTTACTAAATAAAACATAGAATACCATTTAGAATACCATTTATATAAAGCTCAAAAGAAAACCCATAATAATACCATTGATTAATATATATATAATGTATAAATTACAGGTATTACTCAAGACACTGTGGTAACAAGCTGCCCTACAATCTCAACAGCATAACAAAACCTTTTCTTCTTGTTCATGCTGCATATCCCATGCTGAAGTTAAGGAAGACAGAAGGCTTTCCTCTTTATGGTCATTCTGGGATTTAGGTTGAAAGAGTCTCTGTAACCTTCCCCAATTACTTTAGCAGGGGGAAAGGTGAGCAGTAAATCAAATGCTGGCTCTGAAATCTTCCACCTAGAAGGGATACATGTCATTTCCACTCTCATTTCATTCATCAAAAAGCAGATAACATGTCCACCCCTACCTTCAAAGAGGGACAGGGAAGTACTACCTTATTTCATGCCCAGAAGAAAAGAACAAGAATCTGTGAACAGCTCTAATGACTACCACAATATAAAGGCACAGATTGGAAAATATGAACCAAATTCATAAGTGCTTGCCCCTAGGTAAAGTGGGAGGAAAGGAATGGATTCAGAGAGCAGTAGGAACTGGATTTCATCTTCATTGTAACATTCCTACCATTTTTTAAAAAAAACCTAAAAAAATTCAGTAGATCTACATTACAACTCTAGCATGTATATACTTTTTAAAGTCAAAATATTAACAATTGCTAATTTGGGAGTAGATGTGTACATAGTGGTTATATCATCCTCCATACTTTATTTTCTCAAAAGTCGCTTTTAAACACTTACGTGACATATGCACACAAAGGAAATAACCTAGTTTAGTTTTTTAATATCACAGACATAAAACTAGTTCCTAGAAAAACTAAGCAAGTTTCCCTACTTGCCCTCCTAAAGGTCAAATCACACAGTCTATTCACTAAGTCCAGTAATATATTATTAAAATTGAGGGACACCAAGCCTATTAAGAACACCGTTTATAACATACGAGGGGTCTACAAAAAGTTCACAGGATGATTCATATTATCCTTTAATTCTATTTTGCCATGAACTTTCTGAGGTACCCTCACATAACTTTAGAACACCTATAAAAATTCATAAGTCTAGTAACATTATATTAGTTAATGTGATTAAAATTTAGGATACTAATATTACCTTCAGAAACTAAATTATGGAATATTTATATGATTTAATGCTTAAGAATTTCATAGGTTAGCTTAAGCATTAAAAGACATTAAGGTTTCTTGTTTGACAATGAGTAAAATGAAATCAGATGCTTAGAACTAAAATTTTACCTGTTCGTTTATTTCTGTCCACGTAACAGTACTTTAACTCGTAGTCTTTTAACAAATCATGAACTTCCTGAAAAAGACAAAACCATGAATTCAAAAAAGACACAAATGTAGTTAGTGGATAATCTAGCTCTATTAGCCTACCACCATCACCACCACCATGCCCCATGTAAAAAAAAATCTTTCATGGATCCCCATCACTTATTTAAAGAGGCATTCAAAGCCCACCAGATATGCCACCAGCCTACCTCTCCAAATACATTTCCCAATACAACCCCTATACATTGTCCATATTTCTGCTCAAATGAAATATTCTATTTCATGAGCACACCATGCACTGTCCTCTCTCTGTATTTCTGCTCACACTTATACCTTGACCTAGCATTGGGCAAACTATCACTAAAGTTCCTAAATTTTTCCTGAAATCACATGCATCTTTTGAAATCCCAGCTCAGATGTTCTATCAATAAGCTTTTTCTCGCCGCCACACTCCCAAGCGGCACACTCTCCAGTGTGCCACCAGGCCGGCCCTATCAATAAGCTTTTTCTGATAATTTTCCACAGAATGTGACCTCTCCCTCCTTTATGCTAACAATGGTCATAACTTTATTTATGCCTCTCTTATGGAAATAAATATTATATGTATTTCTATTTTTTTGTGCTATATACTGAACTTTTAACGAGTAATATACCTTTAGATGCTTGTAGCACAAACTTGTAGAAAAAAATAAATGTAGATTGTAAATCTTAACTTAGAAATCTCTGGATATGAGGGCCAGCCTGTGGCTCATTTGGGAGAGTGTGGTGCTGATAACCCCAAGGCCACAGGTTTGGATTCCTATATAGGAGGGATGGCTGGTTAACTCACTTGGGAGAGTGTGGTGCTTACAACACTAAGTCAAGGGTTAAGATCCCCTTACCAGTCATCTTTTTGAGGAAAAAAAAAAAAAAAGAAATCCCTGGATATGAAAACAACCAACAACCACCATGGTTTAGTACATAGTTCAATTTGTTTCCCCTGTGCTCGCCAAGATGTTTAAGCTGGCTTCTGGTTCATTCCACTTCTATTGCTAACCCAGCCTACACTGTCTTCTTCTGATAGCACAACTTCCATCCACTTTGGAGCCTAAAAAAGTAGATTTCATACTTCCCTGATCTTTCCTATTAAACTTACAGTACTTGAGTACAGGAACCGTATTTTATATATTTATATATTACCTATATTGATTAGCATATGGTAGGCACTCAAATATACATTAAAGTGAATATAATTGCTCATTGTTGAATTGATATGTGGCCCTGAAAATTTTACTCATAATATACCACAGATGCAGTTACTATTTTCAAAGGAATTGGACTATCACATAGGTGGACATTATGACCCCAGATTAGAGAGTTACAGCCCATCTGTTTTGTATTGCAAATGAATAACATAAACATACACAGTAGTAGTATGTTAACTACATAATCTAGAATGTTTAATTCAATAATAATAATAATTCTTATTATTGCTATTGTTATAGTTAACATTTATTTAGCTTTTACGAGGTATGAGGTACTGAATTCACCTTTTATTAAAAATTAGGAAACCAGAGCAGGGTGAAGTCAATTGACATGGTCATATAGCTAGTAACTTGCCGAGTGGAGATTCACCCAATTGGTCTGGCTCCAGGGACTGCACTCTCAATTTCTATACCATATTGCCTTATTTCTTCCAGTATTAACTTTAAGAACAGTACACTACTATTAATAGTTATAAAAACAATACCACTAGTGCCCTAATAAGTAATCATGAGAGTAATATAGAAATGGAAAATAAATGACGACAGTTACAAGTTGTGAAATATTTTTCCTTTCAACTCAGTGCAAGAATGATAGAAGAGTGATATAATAGGCAAAGTACAAAAACATAAAGCTGAGTGAAAAAGAGATAATCACCTATGACAAGCAAGTTAAAGTTGATAGTTTAGTATTCCTTACTAGTAAGCCAATATCAGAAATGTTTAAAAATATATACACACCAATTTTGTAAAATATTATTTGCTGAATCATGATACTATGACAAATATACAGATTAGTTCATAAATTAATATGGTAATTTTTTATCTTGTAAGCTTCAATGCTTTCTTAGACTTACAAAAACAGTTACTGAATTCTTAAGAAAACATAACTCTCTCAATAGCATAATAACATATACAATCTTGCCAATTGACTATTTTAATACTTTATACAGAAGGTAAAGGTAGGGTTTTGTTCGAAGGGATCCACTGCATGCTTTCAGTTGCACAACAATCTCTCGTTTCACTGTTTAACAGCTGTCAAACGCTAGATAAAGAAAACATGATACTGCTCTTCACATTATCAAGTATCCGTAAACAAATGGCATGTTATTCTACTCATTCAGCTAAGAGAATTACCTAAGAGAGAGTTTAAGTATTCAAAGATGCACTTTGCAACTTAGAAACTTCATTTTGAAAACACCTGTATTTCTAATCATAGCTTTTCTCTATATAAGATGTGAGATACAGAGTTTGCCAACTGGGAAACCTTACAAAGCTCCCTACAAAGAAAAAAACAATTATTTTTCTCCATGCCCTGGTTGCTCCGACCCAGGCAAAAGTGGGTCACCCCTCCTTTTGAGCCCCAGTAAGTTGGTCAAATTAAAAACTTACAACCTAAAAGAGAGCCCTAATAACAATTTGCCAAAATTCTACGCTCTGTCACACAGAACTGAAAGGAGGAAAATTACAGCTCCCTATACTAGTCTAGCTTTATAACATCTCCACTAACTTACAAACTAATTTTAGGAATGAAAACACTTTGTCCTCTCACGTGCAATATCAGTTACAAATTTCTTTGAGTAGCATAAACTAATCAAAATTGACATTAGATAGCTTTAGAAACCTATTTCCAGACCGGATTCACTATCACTCCCTGAAGTTATATGAAAAGTTTTGCACAAACGAAATGTTTTTTGGAAAGAGGATCAATAGCTTTCAACTCAAAGCAGTCAGTCTACGACCCTCCTTCTACCCCCAACACAGGTTAAATAACCATTGTTCCAGTTGGTCTGGACTCCTTCCTGAAAAAAACTCAGCCTTAGTTATAAACCTGAACCACACTGTCTTCTAAGCCCTTCACAGACTTAGTTTCTCTTTTTTTTTTTTTAACTGTTCTAAGAAAGGTTTTCAAAGATTAAAGAACATTAATTTTAAAGTCCACTGCTTTAAAAAAGGAAACAATTTTGTTAATTTTCCTTTAAATTTTTAAGCAATTTGATAATATTAAAAGATTATCTGTAACACATATTAAGTTATGAGACATAATAATTAAATAAACACTCAGGAATCTACTACCACATTGAAGGACTAAAACATAAGACAACACTGTTGCATCCAAGTATGTGTTCCTTAGCTATCCAATACCTCCACCTTCCCCTATGGTATCTATGTATCTTTCCGTGGATATGTATCCCAAACAACATACTCTTTTTTTTTTTCGTTAAATTTTTATTTTGTCAATATACAATGTATATGATTATTATG